AGCCACATGAACTTTATAAACACATGGAAATTAGCACCCTACTGAATAACCAATGGGTCACAGATGAAATTAAACAAGAAATTAATTTTTACAGTTGAATGATAATGGCAAAACAACATACCGAAACTTGTGGGACACAGTAAGAAAAGCAGTCTTCAGAGAGAAATTTATAGCAGTAAATACCCATATCAGGAAAACAAAACAAGCACATTTAAACAACTTAATGTTGAACCTCAAACTTCTGTGAAAAAAAAAAAAAAAAAAGAGCAGGCTAAACCAAAAGCTCATACAAGGGAGGAAATTATAAGGATCAGAGCAGAAATTAACACACCAGAGACTAAAAAAAAAAAAAAAAAAAAAAAATACAAAGAATCAATGAATCAAAGAATTGGTTCTTTGAGAGATTAAATAAAATTGACAAGGTCAAGGATTTAGCTCAGTGGCATAAGCACCTGCCTTGTAAGCACAAGGTTGAGAGTTTGATTCTCAGGACAAAAAAAAAAAAAAAAGCCATAAAATTGACAAAACCTTGGCCAACCTTGTCAGAAAAAGAAAGACTCAAATCCATGCAATTAGGAATGAAAAAGATGAAATCACAACAGACCTTATAGAAATCCAGAAAATTATATCATTGCTGAATTCTACAATAAATTTAGTGAAGACACTACTACTTCTTAAACTTTTTAATGAAATTGAAAGGGAAGCAATACTCCCAAATTTATTCCTGGAAGCAAGCATTACTCTGATTCCAAAACCAGAGAAGGACCCAACTAAGAAAGAGAATTACAGATCAATTTCCCTAATGAACATTGGTGCAAAGATCCTCAATCAGATACTGGCAAACAGACTGCAGTAAATAGTCAAGAATATTGTACACCATGATCAAGTGGGGTTCACCCCAGGGATGCAGGGATGGCTCAACATAGGTAAATCCATAAGTGTAATACACCATATTACCAGAGCCAAGGGCAAAAATCATACGATCATCTCAATAAATGCAGAAAAAGGGGCTGGAGATTTAGCTCAGAGGCATAAGCACCTGCCTTGCAAGCAGGCGGTCGTGAGTTCGATCCCCGGTACCGATAAAAATGAAAAAGACAAAAAACAAATAAATAAATAAATAAAAAATAAATGCAGAAAAAGCTTTTGACAAAGTCCAGCACCTATTCATGATTTTAAAAAAACCTACAGAAAATTGGAATAGATGTTCTTTATCTTAACCTGATAAAAACCATCTACAACAAACCAACAGGATCATTGAACACAACTGTTTGCAGTCTCACTGTTTGAATGTCCACTTTGTATGCTTTGATACTGTGATTTGAGCAACTATCTCTAAGATGATAATATGTAATCTATTAACTGGTGATTTCTTACTGTTTTTTTTTTTTTGTAGTTCTGTATTATTTGTACCCTTACACCGCTTTGTTTTGTTTTGTTTTTTCTCTTTTTCCTTTTAAATAAAATTAAAAAAAAAAACTAATAGCCAACATCACACTAAATGGACAAAAACTAAAAGCTTTCACTCTAAAATCAGGGACAAGTCAAGGATGGCCACTGTCTCCATTCTTACTCAACATAGTCCTGGAAACTTTAGCTGGTGCAATTAGACAAGAGAAAGAAATAAAAAGAATAAAGATGGGAAAGGAAGACGTCAAACTATTATTATTTGCAAATAACATGCTATGCTACTTAGAAGACCTCAAAAACTCCACCAAAAGACTTTTAGATTTAATAAGCAAATTCAGTAATGTAGCTGGTTACAAAGTCAACACTCAAAATCAATAGCCTTGTTGTACATACATAACAAACTGAGAGAAATCAGAGAAATAATACCTTTTATAATAGCATCCAAAAAACTGAAATACCTAGGAATAAATCTAATAAAGGATGTAAAAGACCTCTATATTGAAAACTGTACTACTCTGAAAAAAGAGACTGAAGAGAATACTATTATTACTTTGGTACCAGGGATCAAACTCATGACTTTGGACTTGCCAGGCAGGCTCTTATGCTGCTGAACTAAATTCCCAGCCCTGAAAAGAATACTAGAAAATGGAGAGATACTCTGTGTTCTTGAATAGTAAGAACCAATATAATGAAAATGGCCATGCTTCCAAAACTGTTATACTGATTCAATGCAATCCCAATCAAAATTCCAATAGCAGGGCCGGGCATGGTGGCTCATGCCGGTAATCCCAGCACTCAGGAGGCTGAGGCAGGAAGATCCTTGTGAGTTAGAGACCAGCCTAGGCTACAAAGTGAGCTCAAGGCAGCCTGACCTGTATAGAGTGACCCTGTCTCAAAAAGACAAAAAAAAAAAAATTCCAATAGCACATTTTATAGAATTAGAGAAAACAATCCTAAAATTCATCTGGAATCAGAAGAGAACTGGAATAGCAAAGGCAATTCTGGGCAACAAAATCAAGGTAGCAGACATTATAATCCCTGACTTGAAATTATTATATAAAGCTACTGTGATAAAAACAGCATGGTACTGGCAAAAAACAGACCTGAAGATCAATGGAATAGATTAGAAGATGCAAAACAGCTGCAGGCATACTAAGCTACCTTATCTTTACCTTACCTTTTTTTTTTTTTTCAATCAGTACCAGGGATGGAACTCACAACCACGTGCTTGCAAGGCAGGTGCTTACACCACTGAGCTAAATCCCCAGCCCTTAAGCTACCTTATCTTTGACAAAGGTGCCAAACACATTTACTGGAAGAAAGACAGCTTCTTTAATAAATGGTGTTGGAAAATAAATAAGTAAATAAATAAATAAATGGTGTTGGAAAAACTGGCTTTCCATATGCTGAAGATTAAAACTGGAACCATATCTTTCACATGTACTAAACCAAAATCATAATGGATTAAAGACTTAACATTAAAATAGAAACATTAAATCTGCTGGAAGACAGTGTAGGTAAAACTCTTGAAGACACTGGTGTAGACAAAGACTATGAATAGGGAGCTAAGAGTTTAGCTCAGTGGCATAAGCGCCTGCCTTACAAGCATGTGGTTGTGAGTTCGATCCCTGGTACTGATAAAAAAAAATAATAATTAAAAAAAAAAAAAAAAGAAAAACCACCAACAGAGTGAAGAGACAACCCACAATGTGAGAGAAAATTTTTGACAGCTGTTCCTCAGATAAAGCATTGCTATCAAGAACAAATAAAGAACTCAAAAAAAATCAGTCCTCCCAGATATAAAGACCCAATCCAAAAATAGGTATCTGAGATGAACACACATTTCTCAGATGAAGAAGTGCAAACAGCAAATAAATACATGAAAAATGTTCAGCAGTGGGGCTGGGGATTTAGGTGGGGCTGGGGATTTAGCTCAGCGGCATAAGCACCTGCCTTGCAAGCAGGTGGTCGTGAGTTCGATCCCTGGTACCGGTAAAAAGGAAAAAGACAAAAAAAAAAAAAAAAAAAAAAAAAAAAGAAAAATGTTCAGCAGCACTAGTCATTCAAGAGATGCAAATTAAAACAACACTGAGATTTCACCTCACCCCAGAAAGAATGGTTAGTATTAAGAAATCAAGCAATAACAAATGCTGGAGAGGATGTGGGGAAAATAGAATGCTTCTCCACTGTTGGTGGGAATGCAGACTGGTGCAACTACTGAGGAAATCAGTGGGGAGATTCCTCAAAAAACTAGGATGGGGGGCTGGGGATTTAGCTCAGCGGCATAAGCACCTGCCTTGCAAGCAGGCAGTCGTGAATTTGATTCCTGGTACCAGAAAAAAAGGAAAAAAAAAAAAAAACTAGGATTGGAGATTCAATTCAACCCAGCTATTCCTCTTTTTGGTATTGTCCCAAAAGAATTAAAAACATCATACCACAGAAATATATGTGCACCCATATTTATAGCAGCACAGTTTATAATAGCCAGGTCTTGGAAACAACCTAATTGCCCATTAACTGAAGAATGGATAAAAAAGATGTGGCATTTCTACACAGTGGAATACTACTCAGCCATAACTGGACACTTTTATAGGTAAATGGATATGTCTTGAGAACATACTTATTAGTGAAATAAGACACACATGTGTAAACATCATATTGTTTCATTAGTGTGACAAGCTGAAAGGAAAAACATGTATATGTGTTTATATTTTAAAAAGTCGATAGTTTAAAAAAAAGCATAATGGCCTCCTTTGTCATCCACATGGCCTGTTCAGAAGCAAATTCAATGCCTTGGGGCTGGGGATTTAGCTCAGCAGCATAAGCACCTGTTTGGCAAGCGCAAGGTCATGAGTTCAATCCCTGGTACAAAAAAAAAAAAAAAAAAAAGACAAACTCAATGCCTCTCTTCACTGAACATCTCTGTAGGTTCTGCCTTCCCTTCTACACCTTGTCCCAGTCTTTTTGTCCCAGGGAGAATGACTTGAGCCAACGCAACGACTCAGGTCACACTTGCCTTTACTTTAACCTACTGTGAGCCATTTTGAGTTGACTTTTGGATGTCTGATATGCTATAAGGTTTGGGTTTTTTGCATGTGGATATCCAGTTGTTCCAGTATATTTATTGTAGGTACAATCCTTTCTGCAGTTAATTGCCTTTATATTTGCCTTAATTGGCAGAAATCGATTGTCTCTTATGTGGCTATCTATTTTGGGACTTCATATTGGCACCTTGGTGGTTTGTCTATTAATGTCATTTTGTCATGATTGGTGTAACTTTGTGGTAAGTCATGGAGTTGGGGAGGATTGGAGCTCTAATTTTGTTCCTTTATCAAAGATGTTTAGGCTATTCTGAGTCTTTTGTATTTCTACAGATATGTAAGAATCAAAATGTTAATTTTTATGAAAAATGACATTGGCATTTGTAAGGGATTGTGTTTTCTGAGTATTATTATTTTCTTCTATTTTTTTTTTCTGGTACCAGGGATCAAACTCATGACTGCGCTTGCTAGGCAGATGCTTACACCACTGAGCTAAATCCCCACCCCCAACTTTTGATTTTATTGTCTTTTATTTCTAATTTTTTTTTTTTAAATAGGGAACACTTCATGAATTTGCATGTCATCCTTGTGCAAGGGCCATGCTAATCTCTGTATTGTTCCAATTTTAGTATATGTGCTGCCGAAGCAAGCACTATTTCTAATTTCTTAAGGAATGAGAATATTTCATAACTTTCTTCTTTTCCAATAAATGTACTTAGTGTTAAAAAAAAATAGAGCAGAGTTCTCTTTAGACTATTAACACATTAGCTAGTGGTTTTGTTTTTTTCACTTTTTGAGACAAGATTTTGTTATGCAGTTCATGGTGGCCTTGAGTTCACTTTGTAGCCCAGGCTGGCCTTGAACTCACAGTGATCCTCCTGCCTCAGCCTCCCTAGAGTTGGGATTATAGGCATGAGCCACTGTACCTGGCTCAAGGCTTTCTTAAAAGTTTCCCTTGGGGCTAGGAATTTAGCTCAGTGGCATAAATGCCTGTTGGCATGCTTGAGGTTGAGAGTTGACCTTGTTTTTTTGTACCAGGGATTGAACTCATGACCTCACACTTGCCTGGCAGGCACTTGTGCCACTGAGCTAAATCCCCAGCTTTCTGAGCTCAATCCCCAGCCTGAGGTTGAGAGTTCAATTCCCGGTACCAAAAAAAAAAAAAAAAAAAAAGTGTTCCTTGCCTCAAATTCGAGATTTTTGGCCTTAACCTCCCAAGTAGGTGAGATGATAAGTGTGGGTCGGCAGTACAGGCATTTGTCATCAGTAATACACACATATGATATATAAATCATCTGTATGTCAAGATCATGTGCAGTTCAGTTTGTGTTGGGAATACAAGACTGGAAAGGGGTATATACCTGTAATACCAGTATTCTGGGAGGCTGAAGCCAGAGGACAAAGGTCGTAAGTCTTTAAATTACCTTCAGCAATTTAATGCCAGTAAGACTCGGTCTTACAATAAATTTTTTTTTTTTTGTCCTTTTCCTTTTTTATCGGTACTGGGGATCGAACTCACGACTGCCTGCTTGCAAGGCAGGCGCTTAATGCCCCTAAGCTAAATCCCCAGCCCCTACAATAAAAATTTTTAAAGAGGCTAAGGATATAGGTCAGGGTAAATGTTTTGGGTTCAATTTTCAGTATAGGGAGAGGAGAAACTAACAAGGGACCTATGTATATAAAGTGGCTCTTCTCTAAACAGTCATATACCCAAACACTCAAGAGAAATGTGTCTCATCTTCCTCTTCATATCTTTAGACTAATTCTTCAAAAGGATGTAAAATAGGGAAAATTTCACTTTGGGAAAATTAAAATTACTTAGCAAACATTTGTATAGCACTTTCGCTATATTAGACTCATTCTATTTTACAAATATGGTTAAGCCTCCCAACAGCTCCTTGAGGTGGGTTCTAACGACTATAGGCGAAAGAACTAAGGACTACAGAATTTGCTGGAAGTTCCCAGCCATATCGCCAGGATCAAGATTCAAAGGTGAAAAGGCTTGTCTGAGTCCTTTAGCACCACCAGCGCTGCCCCTTCATTAGCTCTGATCTGGGGAGGGATGCAAGATTAGTAACTAACGGTATCACTGAATAATTTCAGTGGTACATTCCTCCTCTTCTGAGCAGCTTTCCCCAATCTGTGAATATCGCTGAAAGTCTCTCCCACGGTCCCTCGTGGGTTTGCTATTTTGAGCTACTCCATGCACGCTCAGTGCCATCCAGCCTCCAGAGCGAGGCGCCCCGCTAGGGATTCCACTGACCCTGCGAATAAAGGTAGGGCTGGCCACTCCCCTGGCGGCACCCAGACTTTTGACACCTGCGCTGGGGGGAAAGAGGACCTCTCCACTGCAGGAGATGTCTCACAGCGAGAGACCTCTGAACACTGGAGAGATGGCGTATATAAAGCTGAAAACCTCGACTCTAAGAGCCTGGGCCAGGTGGCCCACCTTAACTGCAAACTGCAACATTAACTTCAACGACTAGCTTACTTAAAAAAAAAAAAAAAAAAAAAAGAGAATTCCAAGCCACAGTAACTCGACGGTTTTTGTTCTCTTTCTACAAAACTGCGAGAGGAAGCGAAACCACAACAGCCCGCCTAGGGTTGCGAGTATTTCCAGCTCTCGGACCTGTAGGTCGCCTGCTGCAGCTGCGACTTTCTCCTGTTGTGAGTTCACGCTCCATAGATGCGGGAAAACCGCCCACCCCCCGCTAAGCAGGCAACTCCACAGGGTTGGGGGAAGGGACTACCCCAAGGGACTCTTAGGGCTTTAGGGTCAAGCTCAGGAACTGCTCACTGCCTTTCAGTTCCGGGACAAAGAGCACTCCGCACAGTACTAGTAGCTAATCGCCACTGCCAGCCGGAAACCCCGCCCTCGCGTCGGCCTAGCGTTGGAGGGCTTTCCCGTGAGGCTGTGCGCGGCGGACTACAGCTCCCGGCGTGCTCCAGAATTAACCCTTCAGGGCCTGGAGCAGTGCTACCTACCTCCCCCGCCTTTTACTGGATCCCGCAGGGTGAGTTTTGGGGGGCTAGGGAGACCTCTTTAAGATTTAGGGTGTGTGGATGTATGAGGTGGGTTCCACGGGAGGAATGATTCCTTATTTTCAAAAAATGGGACAATTTGAAATGAGATTCAAATGGGAGATCCAGCATCACTACCTGGACCCCTGGGCCCAGGTGGAATTAATTCCCTACTGTCTTCCTCAGAATGCTGCCTATCTTTCTCCTTTCAGAACAGAAGTACCCAGCACCCTCCCCATTTCTTTGTGCCCTTCCTCCACCTTCCTCAAAACCCCAGCAAGGTTGCAACCTGGAGCCAATCAGGGCTTTTTTTTTTTAATGTTCCTAGTTGAGGGGTGAGTAGTGGAGCCCACAGGAGTTCCCACATCTTTTTGGGATTAGAGAATGTAGGCTCTTTGTTTCCTCAAGCCCTTCCAGCCAGGTGCTAGGTTCAGCAAACACCCATCTTTTTTTTTTTTTCTATGCATTTTCTTTAGTGAAAACACCCAGCTTTTTCTAAAGATTCTTTTTCTTTTTATCGGTACCAGGGATCGAACTTAGGACTGCCTGCTTGCAAGGCAGGCGCTTATGCCACTGAGCTAAATCCCCAGACCCAACACACAGCTTTTTATCGTAGTTGAATGACCATAGATTTGGGGAGAAAGGTTTTTTCTTGGAAGTATCAGTGGTGTGTGTTAAACCTGATCCTTTTCTGCATCCCCACACCTAAATCAGTGGATACAGGAGACAATGGGTGCTGTCATACTCCCCTTTCTATTACTGCGGATACCTCCAGCCCCTGGTTATGGGCCTTGGGACTACAAGGGGAATTATTAAGATTATAGGGTCATATTCCTATTCCTGACCTGTAGTCACCTATGGGGGGGGGTTGCTTTATTTATTTATTTATTTTTCAGAATAAATGTTTAACTGTTTCCAGCCTCCACTTTAAGTTTAGCTGGTTCCCACAAGCTTCTCGGATCCCTGCCCTCTAACTCTGCCTAGGTGTTCAAGAGTCTAAAGCTACTGGGTCCCCTCCTTTGCCTCATCCCTATCTCAGTATCACTGGCAAGGATTCTGTCCTCACCTAGGAGGTTAACCCTTTGGTCTAGGCAATCTCTGGCTTCCTCTCCCGTACTCCCACAAGGAACATTGTTCTAGCCAGCTTTTGGAGAAGAGGGGACAAAGGGAACAAACCTTGAGGCAGTAGTCCTGAACCGTAGGAGGCAAGAGGAGTGAAAGCAGGCAGTCATGTCCCTCTACCTTACTGGTGCCAACTGGCTCCCTGCCCCTGCTCCCGCCCCTTGACATCCCAGACTCCCTGGCTATTTAAACAGAGATGGGTGCCCCCATCAGCACACTGTCCTTTGGCCACCGGACACCATGCCTCCCAAGAAAGACGTTCCTGTGAAGAAACCCGCAGGGCCCTCCATCGCCAAGCCTGCTCCCAAGCCAGCTGCAGGGACTCCTCCAGCCAAGACCAAGGCTGAGCCAGCTGTCCCTCAGGCCACTGTGAAAACTCAGGAGCCCCCTGTCGATCTCTCCAAAGTGGTGGTAAGCTCTGGGGAAGGGAGGAGAGAATTTAGAGGGCATGGTTCAAGGGTGGAATACAACGTAGGATATGGGGAGTATAGTAGGTAGGGAATGAATGGATGAGCACTACAATGAGATTGGGGATTCTTATAGTCAGGAAGGATCCAGGTTTATGGCTCTGCTGTTGTCTTTGCTGCTCTCTCACTCTAACTTAATACACACTCACATTTGCTGACCCGTTGTTGGAGGCAGGGACTGTGAAATGGGGAACACCTGGGTTCTGAAGACAGTTTCAAGGTGGAGAGAGCACTGCTTGTCTCTGGCTGACTGTTCAGCTCAAAAGCCTGCAGCCCTGAACCCCAGAAGTAGAGGCTGAAAAGGACAGACTTGTTAGACAATCACAGCTGGGGGCCAGGAGTAAATTTAGCCTTTGTTCAGCCCCCAGTTATGTGAGGGATGCAGGGCTCAGGGCAGTGGAGGGAGGGGAACAGGTGGCATGGGATTAACCTACCCTGTTCCCAGAAAACCCTCCCCCCTATAATTCCTTCTCTTGGGATTCTCCCAGAAGCTGGAGCTGGGAATGGGACTGAGGTGGCTGGACTCCCAGGCTGGTCCCGTTGGGCCTTTCCCCAGAAGTGGCTGCCAGTTGGTTGGGAGGAGTACTGGAGAGGGATTGAATAAGCCCTGTCATTTCTCTTCACCTGCTCTTTTCTTCCACAGATCGAGTTTAACAAGGACCAGCTGGAGGGTGAGGAGAAGCTGGTTGCCTAAGCCCACTGTCTAGTCCCCAAGCCCCTAGTCAGATCCTTTTTCTGTTCCCCTAGCTCCAGTCTCAAGCTTGAAACCTCCCATGCTGTGCTGTTTTTTGTTTTTTGTTTTTTCCCTTGTTTTACATACCTCTGACACAGAGTTTCTGAACATCCTTTTTGTCTAAGGGTGATAGGAACTACTGGTTAACACTACCTTTCCTTATATCTCAGAGTTCAAGGAGGCCTTTGAGCTGTTTGACCGAGTAGGTGATGGCAAGATCCTGTACAGCCAGTGTGGGGACGTGATGAGGGCCTTGGGCCAGAACCCCACCAATGCTGAGGTGCTCAAGGTCCTGGGGAACCCTAAGAGTGACGGTGAGAAGCTTGGAACAAGTAGATTTATCAGTTTCTTTTTGTTGTGCTAGAGATCCAACCCTGTGCCTTGCTACACTCAACTATATCCTTCACATCCAATTTTCTTTTTATTCTTTTTTTTTTGAGACATGATCTCACTGTGTAGTTTAGGCTGGTCTCAAACTTATGGCAATCCTCCTGTCCTCAGTCTCCTGAGTGCTAGGTGTGTGCCACAGTGCCCTGCTAGCATCCAGTTTTCAGTGGTAGAATACTGGTAAGTTGCCAAAGGATGCTAAGGTAGATCTTAGGACTTCAAAAACTGAAAGATGTGGCCAGAAATCATCCTGAGTGCTGAAGCAAATGTAAGCTGTTTTAGTAGGGATGAGAACTGGGTCTTGGGTCATACTCAGTCACCTCTCTAACCTATCAAACCTCCAGAGTTGAAGTCTCGACGTGTGGACTTTGAGACCTTCCTGCCCATGCTCCAGGCAGTGGCCAAGAACCGGGATCAAGGCACATACGAGGACTACTTGGAGGGGCTTCGGGTGTTTGACAAAGAGGGAAATGGCAAAGTCATGGGTGCAGAGCTCAGACATGTTCTTACCACCCTCGGTGAGGCAGGGACCAGAACTCTTGTGGGGTGGACAATTGGGAGTGGACCAGGAAGAAGGCCGGCAAGGTAGGCCGAGCCAGGGAGGGGATACTGTCCTGCAGATCATGGTCAGGATACAGCTGTAAAGGAAGAGCCATGGGAGTAAGAGTCAGAGGTACCTGCTCTTCCAGAGCTAAAATATTCCCCTAAAAGGCAGAGGGAAGGGAATGAGGTGAGAGCCCCAAATTCTCAATTTGGGAAATACTTGTCTTCTGGGATTCCATACTTGTCTCAACCCTCCTATCCTGAGTTTTGTTGTCTGTCAGAGCCTTACCCAATTTCAAGGCACTCTACTAATGCAGGAGCTACGGAAAGCAGGAGGCAAAGTGGGAGGAAAGGAGTATCATCTTGGAGGCAGTGGCTTGGGCAGATGAGGGAAGAAAGATGGTTCCAATGCTGTGTTTGTTGTTCAGGAGAAAAGATGACTGAGGACGAAGTGGAGACTGTTTTGGCAGGACACGAGGATAGCAACGGCTGCATCAACTATGAGGGTGAGGGGTCAGGAGCAGAAGGGCCCCGGGGAAGTGGGAAGACACATGTGGGTGTGGGGTGCGTGGATTACCTATAGTCCGATGGGCTGTCCAGAGGTCTGCTTCTGAAGCCCCCTCGCTTGTCTGCAGCTTTCCTGAAGCACATCTTAAGTGTCTGAGCTCCACACATGGGCCCGCCAGACCCCACCTCGTCCTGAGAGGCAAGTTTTCCCTGTCAGCCAGCGCAGATACCAGGATAGTAAGTTTCCCTGTCCGATGGCTGCACAAGTACCAGGGCTTGGCAACTTTCATTTTTTTCCACAGGTCTTGTGGGGCAGTCTCTCGCTCCCCTCCCCCGCAGGCAGAAGCACTTTCCTGCCACTAGAAGGCCACATACTGCTTCAAAATAAAGACATGGTTTCTTCCTTGGTTTCTAGACTGTTGTTTACTTCATAAAGGGAAGGAGGAAAGGGAGGGACTTAAGAGGGAACATCTTAAGTTCATAACCGCTGATTTCTGGGCGGTCAAAGGAACCCTTCGCGGCGCCCCACCCTACGCAGGTTTGCGGTTTCCACGCCCAGGTGCGGCCGCCCAGGAGAAAGGACCACAGTGGGCCCCGCCCACCTCATTACTAGTGTAGCAATTCAACTGCAGGAGCTCTGCTCGGGTGCTCATTGGCTGGGTCCGCGGAGGGTGACGTCATCGGGACGTACTAAGACTAGGGCTGGGCTAGGAGTCGGAGCCATTACTGCAGGTCCCGCAGAGCTCGGCAGTTAAGATGGTGGGTTCCGCTCTTGGCAGATAAGGGGTTTAGGGGCGAGGAGGGGAGTCACGGGTAGGTGGCGAGGAGAAGGAAGGGGTAGGGTGGGGCAAAGGGAACCCAAGGGCTTGAAAGGTGGGAGGGGAGGTTGAAAAGTCTAGGGCCCGGTCCTGCTGGAAACCGACTCCCTAAACCTTAAACGAGTTTTATGAGATTGGGATACAAGACGGGGGATTAGACTTCCGTTGCTGACCACTCCCTTCTTCTCTGGGCAGTGTGACTTCACCGAGGACCAGACCGCAGGTAGGCTGTCTCGGACCCCAACTGGGGTCACCCTTAGCTTGAGGAACGTCCCTCTGCTATCCTCTAACCGCAATCTGTCCTTTTTAGTACCGCTAGGAGAGTACCTCCTGAATTCCTCTCCCCTCCTAGACTTCCATCTTTCTCATTCTTTCTTCCTTCCCCTTCCACTCTAGATGTGATCCCCAAGCACTGGGTGAGTTTTAGGTGGTGTGGGTATGTGAAACAACTTGGTCACCTAATGACTGCTGTGGGGCTTAAGGATGGTGTTTTAAGCTGTGCTTCTGTCCCTTAATCAGCTACTTCTGCTGCATCTCTCCTGTAACTGTCCCCCTCCCCCAGCTTGAAAATGTGAAGCCAGTGAAGAGCAGTGACCTGATATGTTGTAAAGATGAGGACAGGGGAGTTTGCTAAGGATAGCACTGCAGCACCGCTCTTTGAAAGGTTTCTGTACAGGAAGGGTGGGAAGTGGCAGGCCCACTTGTCTCAGGCCAAAGAAGTTCCCACTTCCTTAAAAGGACAGGACCCAGACTGGGCGGTGGCAGATTCCTATCCTGAGCATTAGTTAGCAGTGAGGAGGCTGAGCAGGCCTGCTGCTTGTGGAGGGGGTGTGTTAATGGATAGTACCTAGCTGCCAAGGCTCCCACTGTATTGAAGGCTGTATTGTTTCTTGGGACATTTGAGTTGGGAGAAAGATAAATAGATCTCTTTTAGCAGACTTGGGTGTACAGCAGGGTAGGTATCTGGTTTCTGCAGCATGAGCAAAGATGGCTGAGCAGCAGAACTGAGGTAGTCTGGGTTAACCCTGTTTCCAGTGTTGATGTGCATCTGACTCCTTAGAATTCAAGGAGGCCTTCCAGCTGTTTGACCGAACGGGTGATGGCAAGATCCTATACAGCCAGTGTGGGGATGTGATGAGGGCCCTGGGCCAGAACCCCACCAACGCCGAGGTGCTCAAGGTTTTGGGGAACCCCAAGAGTGATGGTGAGCATCCTCAAGAACAATTTCATGCGGTAGTGAACCTAGTTCTTCAGCTAAGAGCTTCACTTTGTCTTCAAAGGCCCCAATGAGTTTTCCTGTTTAGCTGTCCTCCCCATAATCCTGTCCTTGTGAATTCTTTGGCCTGACACTTGCTCTCCCCTGTGGCAGAGATGAATGTGAAGGTACTGGACTTTGAGCACTTTCTGCCCATGCTGCAGACTGTAGCCAAGAACAAGGATCAGGGGACCTATGAGGATTACGTTGAAGGCCTTCGGGTGTTTGATAAAGAAGGGAATGGTACCGTCATGGGGGCTGAAATCCGTCATGTTTTAGTCACACTGGGTAAGGCTCTCTGCCCTTGTCTGGGAGTTAAGGTGCCACCTGTTAGACCTTACTACCCACCCAGTTCCAAAAACATTTTCTTCCTCTCTGCAGGTGAAAAGATGACAGAGGAAGAAGTGGAGATGCTGGTGGCAGGGCATGAGGACAGCAATGGTTGTATCAACTATGAAGGTGAGGGATGAACTGAAGCCTTGGTGAAGTTAGAGTGATATAGGACATATTAAAGACAGCATCCGGGGCTTCCTTATCCCTGGACTTGGGCTTCAAAGAGGCAAGGGGTAGGGCCTAGCCCAGGGAGGGGGAGGTTGAGTATATGACAGGAAGCAGTAAAAGGGATAATGGGGGTTGGGAAGTAAATGGAATATCTTGTTACCCCACTGGCTGACCCCTTCACCCCATGTCTGTGTCTTGTCTTCACCATTAATGTCTCTTCCTTCCTGCAGCGTTTGTGAGGCATATCCTGTCGGGGTGACGGGCCCCGAGGGCCGGGTACGGCTCCTCCCAGCCTCTCCTTCTCTAGTTGATTGCCCCAATGTTTCATTTTCTTCCCAACCTGTGCTCTGTAGCCTTTACCCTTGCCTACTACCACCTGATCTCCTTCTGGCATGTTGCTGCATGTTGCTGGCTAGGGAGGGCAGGGATTCCTCAAAGAGGAAAGCAGCTTGGGAGTACGGTACCTCCTTCCTTCTCTCCTGCAGTGGGCTCTAAGGTTTTGTTATAGGACCATGGGTGCTGGTGTGTGGGACTTCTTACCAGTTGAGCAGTCTTGCTTTAGGGTAGTCCTGTGGCCCTGGAGCATGGAGAGTTGGCATATGGGGGCAGGCTGCCCACTCATTCTGCTGCTATAGCTGACCCCTGACTGTCCCTGCTGGGCAGCTTGGAGGTACCCTAACCCAAACCTCTTGTCCTCTCCTCCTGCCAGTGGCTGCCAGTAGCTTTAGGTGTAGTTGAGAACCTTTCTGCCTCTGCTGTGTTCTTGCTGCTCAGGATGGGATGGGGGACTAAGTGCTGGGAGAGGGGAGCCAGGGGCAGAGAGAACTGGTCAGATCAAGGTGGCTCCTCTGCAAACTGACCCTAAGGTTGGTTGCTGTAGGCATGTTTCCTCTTATGCTGCCTTCATGGTCTTGTCTCCTGGCCCCTGGCATACCCCTCCCCAGCCCTGCTCCATGGCTTACTCCACCTCTCTTTCCGCAGAGCTTGTCCGGATGGTGCTGAATGGCTGAGGACATTCCCAGTAAACCCAGAGCCTGTGCCTTGCCCTCTGTGAGATTTGTATGTGGCCCCAGAGGCTTCGTAGGTTCACTTGTCACAGCACCTTTCCTATCTGGTTTCTTGGATGATGTTTGCCATCAGCATTCACCAAATAAACTTGCTGTCTTTGCCCCCATTTGGTTCTGCTTTCCTTCCTGAGCAGAGTGAAGGGAGATAAAGTTAGATGCTGATGATTTCTGGCCAGAGACAGAGCCCAAGGCCAACAGACAAAGTTTAGGGAAAGCTGGAGAAGGACTTATAGTAGCTGTCTGGGCCCAATATACTCATGATGCAAAAGTATCCCCTTGGGTAATCAGAAAAGCCATAATTCCTGTAAGACCAAAGCTGGCCATCTATTTTTTGGTATGACTGCAGAGCAGGCATGCTTTTGTTCCATCCCATACACCATTGAATCTTCTAGCCCTCCCAAGCACTGATCACCTTTTGTGGCAAAGCCTGGGAGTGTTTAGTGATGTTAGAGCCAGACCATATTAGCACTGCCTGAGCCTGTCTGTCATACTGGCAGGGCCAGGGCCAACAACAACAGAACTAGGTGAGGGCCTGCCTCCTCCCTAATAAGGGAAGGAATGAAGCCACTGATTCTCAAGGGATAAAGATACAAAAATCTCCATGTTGTGAGGATGACCTTCCAAGTCTTTACCAGCTATTTTTAGAGCAGGTGAGCGCCTCTGCTATAGTAGCAGTGCACAGCCCTAAGAGCCAAGCTGCCCTTCACCTTCTGTGGTGGGCCCTGTGGCAGGCACAGTGCCTGTTTGGCCCAGGGGATGCTCCTGTGAATGACTTCAGAAAAGCTGCCCCCAGCCCAGTATCCCTGCCTGACAGCCACAGGTAAGAGAACACAGAGGCATCCACAAGATCAAACTGAAAGCAAATTAATTTATAAAAAAAAAAAAAAAGAAAGAAAGAAAAAAGGAAAGAGAAAATTTACAGAAAACTGAACAGAGGATGCCCAGACGCAGAGGAAGAGAAACATGGGGACATGAGGGTCAAAGAGACTGGTAGGTGGAACCAGGAACTGGTATAGAACCTATAATCCCATTTGCCTCCATGTCAAGTGAGGAATAAGTGTAACTGGGAGGTTCTGGAATATGGGGAGCAGAGCTAAGCTGCCCTGCTCTCAAGCCTGTGTCCTCATCTGAGAACCACTAAGCTATCAGTGAGGTCCTGCCAGTCTTGGTGGGACAGCAGCAGTTAGGGGAGTCACCTACATGAGTCATAAGGAGATGCTTAAGTGCTTTTCAAAATTTTCAGGTTTTAAGAACTCCCCATCCTCTTATAGCATCCCCCTCCACGCCTTTCAGGAGCTCACAGATACAACCTAAGGAAGGAAGAATAGCCCCTATTGCTCTTCTTCCTCTGTTAGCTATCACAGGAGTCCCCCCAAAATATGTCCCCTCCCAAATACACATACACTGACATCAACTAAGCAGATGACTTTTAAGAAACAAACAAAACTGACATCAGAGGGAAGGGATCATTGGTTGAGCTGGGGTAGCCTAAAACAGCAACAATGAGGAAGCAGCAGGAGAGATTAGTATGAATGAATGGCCAGGGAGTGGGTGAGGGGAACTGAATCACTACCGAGGGACCTGGGGGAACAGGTTTGGCTCCCTATTCCATCCCCAGAGCTCTTCCAACAACCTTATTCCACTTTCTTAAAACAGTCACCTTCCCCATTCAAAACAATGTAAAAGTTGCTTAATTTTTAGAAGGGAGCTCCAATGTGGCTTTTTAAAATTTCTCTACTTCCTTGTAAAGGGCTGAATTTTTTTTTTATCCATAAAAAAAAAAAAAATGCAGTAGTTCTGAGGGGAGTGCACCCTTGGAAGTGGTTAAGTAGAACCTTATATAAACACCATTCCCCGGCCCTTTGAGGGCACCCAATCCATCCTATCCCTTTTCCCAGACATTAGAAACATCTTTTAAACAGAAGTCCTTGAGTAATCCGGTATAAAAGTGCATGCCTCTGCTGGCATGTAGGGGCTTTGGAGGGGCAGAGGAGCTTTCCTTACGTAGTGATGAACTCTCCAGCTGGGGAAGGGTCCCAGTGGTGGGGGAGGGCTGTTTCTGGAACCGAGATCTCCTTGGGGGGGTGGGGGTGGAGGAAGAGGTGTCTTGGCTGGCTCCTCACTGTGGAGGTGGCACAGAGGTGACTGTGCCTGGACTCGGAGCTGTGGGGTCTGGGGGTAGGGGGGTGCCTGGGTCTGTGGAGAAAAGGAACAAGAGTCAGCTGGGGCATGCAGGAGGCAGTCCAGACCCAGTCTGCACACAGACACAGGACCAGGCATGGCATGCAGTGTGTGTAGCTGAATGAGATACCCAGAGTGCACAACTTGCTTTTCCCATGCTGTTCCACCTTAACTGGGGAAAACTGATACACTTCAAATCATCCTCCTGCCCCTAAGAAAACTCTAAATGGGGCATCTGAATGTGATGGAAATAAGCAAAGGAATGTCAATCATGCAAACAGGTAGCTGCTTTTCAAGTTTACAACTGAGATGTTCCATGCCACCGGACTCCTCCATGACCCACCAGTGAAAGGCCCCAACGTCATCCCAGAGTTAGCAGCTGCCAAGCATGGTGAAGGGCCAGAGAGACCCTTAGTCTTGTATTCTAATTTTACCAGTGTTTAAAAAGGACTGTGGAAATTCTAGTGGTTGACCCCTTCCCCACCTGCCCTCCCTCCATCCCTCCCTGTGGACCCATCTCCCTTTCCCTTCTCCCCTCCTGGTCCCTTCTCACCTGGCAGTGGGCTGGCACTGGGCAGGAGGTTGCCCTGAACAGCTGCCACAATGGCAGGGCTCTGGGCTGCGGCGGATCCGAGCCCCGGCCCGAGAGGCAAGGAAGATGGCATGGTGGTGGTCGCCGGCAGGTTAGGATGTAGAGGGTTCGCCATGGACACAGGCAGGTTAGGTGGGGGGAGAGTGCCCGGGGCGAATGGGAGATGATGGTGATGCCCATGCAGGTTAGGAGGAGGGGGGAGGTTAATACTGATGGAGTCAGCTAGACTACCAAATGGGATGATGGATGGAGCAGGAGGAGGAGGAGGCGGCATGCCAAAAGGCAAACCCAAAGGAGCATTACCCGCCACGCCTGGGTGCCCGCTGCCTGGCACTGCCCCTGGCATCATTGAGGGAGGAGTTTGTTGGCTGGGGAACGGTGAGGGGCCTAAGAATGGAGACAAGGGATAGAGGAGCTTAGAGGAGAAAAATCTCACTTAACAACTTATTTTCGTAGCAAAGATAAGCTGGACACTTCTTGTTGCCAGCTTCCTTTTTCCCAATGCTAGAATAAATGGTAAATCCTTGGAACAAAATTCCAAATATCTGGGTTTGGACAGAAATCCTTACCGGTTTAGGGACATAGGGTCTGTCTGTAAAAACTGAGAGCAACCCTTATCTCCAGGCCCATCATGTCACCCTTTCAAAGGGAATTGAATCATTCGCCTGGATTCCTATAGCCAACAAGAATTCTGGAACTCACCACTTACCATGGGGTCCAGGGGCGGGTATCCCTGGAGGGACTGCCCCAGGCTGGAGCGCGCCAGCTGGTTGTGGCTGCTGTGGCCCAGTCGTTGGCCCTGCCTGCCCAATCTGTTCTGAAGGGCCCAAGCTTCCAGGAGGGGCTCCACTGCCAGCAGGAGCAGGGGCCACAGAGGCTGGAGCCACAGCCAGGCCATGGACTGTGGGTGGCCCAGCAGCCCCTGTGGGGGGTATAGGCTGGGAGCCCGGGGGCAGAGTTGGTGGTGGCTGCTGCTGCTGTTGGTGCATCTGCTGGAAGTGCTGCTGCCGGGCCCTCATCTCTGCGTACTTCAGCTGCTCCATGTGGAAGGCTTGCCGGTCAGCCAGGAGCTGTTGCCTCTGATACTCCAGCTGCCAGTGCCAATGAGTGCTGTTACTGAATTTTCAGAAGATCCCTGGACAAATGTCTTGCCCCCTGCTTTGTCATCCCTTAAAAGACCCCATGGCTCATGCTGGTGGTTCCTGAAATCTAAGCCTGTTTTCTCTGACCTTCCTACCCAACCTGTTATGAATTCCATGACCTTCCCGTCTCCCGAATGTTCACATTGCCTCTCATTGCAGTAGAGTTAATCTGATGGTAGCCCTGGCTCACTGGAGCTCCAAAGCTTTGAATTTATCATTAGTTGGGAAAATGCTTCCTGTTCCTCTTGTCAATTCAAGTTCTTTTCCTTCAAAACTGCCTAGAAATTTGTTCTTAGGAAGCCATCTAAGATTATACACAAATCTGAAGCTCCGACCTTTTCACCATCCCTTCAAAGTATTCACCTAACAAAATTTTTTTTTTTTTTTTTTGAGACAGAGTCTCATTATATAGCCCAGGCTGGTCTTGAACTCACAGTGATCCTCCTGCCTCAGCCTCCCGAGTGCTGGGATTATAGGTAACAAATACTTATTGAGAGTTTACTATTAGTGAAGCAGAGCTGGAAATCAGCAACCAAAAATCTAACTAACCTCCTTGTTCAGAGGAACTGACATGCCATAGGACCTCAGCCTTTAGCATTCACATCCTTGACTGCCCAGGACTGACTTCCCCTGTTGAGATTGCTCCCTTCCCTGTCAGCCTTGGCTCAGGCTCTCTGCCTTACAGTACCTCCTCCCCCATCACTCCCACTCTAACTGGGACAAAATAGTCCTGTGGTGGGATTCTAGACCCCTACTGACACCCTACGGGAGGCTACTTACTGCTTCTCGCTCCCGGTCCATGATCGTCTCTAGTTCCTCAAAGTGACGGAGTTTGATCTCCAACTTCTTCATCTGGGTCTCTACCAGCAGGGCCACCAATGATTTAATCTTTCTCTCTTCAACAGCAGCCAAGTGCTAGGAAAGAAGGGGTAGGAGAGCACATCAGTAGGAGGACCTAGCTGTAGACATTCCAGGGAAGACAGGACAGGCAGATGCTGCTGGCAAGTTTAAGAATGAATGTGCTAGCTGGGCATGGTGGGGCATGCCCATAATTGGGAGGCTGAGGAAGGAGGATCATCTGGAGTTCAAGGCCAGCTAGAACTACATAGTGAGATCCCCATCTCAGAGAACAAAACAAAACAAACAAACAACAACAACAAATAGAGTGGCAAGGGATAAGGCAAATCAAACT